CTCTCTCTGTCCCTCTCTCTCTCACTCTCTATCTCTCTCTCTCTCTCTCGCTCTCTCTCTCTCTCTGATTGTCTCTCTGTCTCATTATATGTGAGGTAACCCACGTGGACCCCTACCAGTGTTTTCCGGCATCCCATGCACCACAATCTACGCGGTACAGTCTACGTGGTGCAATCGACTCTGATTTCCCCACGCTGGACTAACTCCCATGCATGCGCAAACGTCCCGCCCGCCCACCCGCAACTTGGTTTGCAAAACCCATGCGCCGGCGAGTGCAATGGCTGCTCGGCGCTAACTGGTGCATTGCTGCGGCCGCGCTGGCGCGCGCAGGCCCGCGCACAGAGCGGCCAGCTAGTCTGGCGCGACCGACCCAGACCCCCGACGTCATGATTTTCGCATTACGTCGACCCCCGAGGGCCCGACCCATTTCCCGGGACCGGTGTTTCGTCCTAGGGTCCCGAGGCCCGGTGAGGGCCCCCTCGGGCCGAAAATACAGAAAAGCCTCCCCGCATGATTGGTTCATTACCCGAGGAGGTCTGGGGACGCGGCCGCGGTGGCGCTGGCCACTGGTAGCTTCCCAGCGCGTCTCGCAGGCCGCGCTGACTCGCGGGCACATCCGTGCGAGTCGGTGGCTCGGGCGGGCGCGGGAGGCGCCGAACGCGGCGGGGCGCCTGCGCACCGAGAGGCCCGACGCCTCGACGGTGCGGGCGTCCGCCGGCGGGTCCGCCCACGCGACCCCCGGGCACACCGTGTCGGCGGTGACCTGCGCCTGGCCCTGGGCAATGCCACGGAGGCGCTCGCGGGGCGGCACGCCCGCGCGCGTGGCCTTGCCGACGCCGCCCCCGCTTGGAATGCCTCGACGCGGCAGGAGAGGAGGCACTGCGGGGCACAGCGTGCGCCCTGGTGAGGGCCATGGGCGCACGGCGCGGCTCCGGCGCCTGGCGCGGCTCCCAGCGGCACTCCGGCACGGCGCACGACGAGGCACAGCGCGGCACGGGCCTGCGCGCGGGGCGTCACCGCACGGCGCCGCGCCGCACCGCGCACCGCGGCGCCCCCCCACGACACCCCCGGCAGCGCGGCACCGCAGGGAGCACAACGGAGCACAGCACCGCGCGGCACGGCATCGGCGGCGGTTGCCCATGGAAATTCTGGTTGGCACAGCACCGCGCGACAGCGTAGTCCGAGCACGTGCAGGAATCGCCACAGCACACCACGCGGCGGCCCGCCAGCGTGGTCTGTGGGAAAGAAGCTCGAAGGCGCACGGGAAAAGCGCCCACATACTGGAGCCGTGCTGACAGCGGCGTGCGGGGAGGGTGGGGGAAGAGGACGTGGAAGGATGTACAATTAGAATTTGCGCTGGCTTGACCATGCGAGGGCTGTGGTCATCAGTGGGGTGTGAGGCTCTGAGGAGACCAGACGCGCGAGTCGTACATGACTCGGGGGTTCTAGAAGGACCGAAAGCACGAGCGGTAGAGTATGGGTGCTTTCGCAATTATTCGGCAGGGTGGTTGTTGTGGAGACTCGAGAGGCCTGAGAGGGGCTGTAGAATAATCTAGAAGCTCTAGAGGGCTCCAGACGGACTCTAGGGACACCTTTAGAGGGGATTTTAGAGGGTACCTTTACATGCCAGCCTGGCGACTTAGGGCGTGCTCCTAGACAGAGCCTCCAGAGATTCCAGTTTTCCAATCTGAATGTTCATAAAGATGGATGCGCCTTTCTCTCTCCCTCTCTCTCTCCCTCAGTCTCTCTCTCTCTCTCTCTCTCTCTCTCTCTCTCTTCCCACCCATGCATGCCCGAATCACACGTCACTCGCCTCCGCTCCCCACCCCTCCCCGCCCTCCGCTCTCCTCGGTGATGTACTGACCTGGGTCTATGCAAACCCGGGCCAGTCTCAGGCTCTGCAAGATCCGGCAGGATCCTGCAGGATCCTGCATGACCTTGCGTGCAAAACTAACCGGGGTCAGAGCAGCCCTGGCTCTGCAGGATCCTGCAGGATGCGGCGCTCTGGTTGGCCCCCGCTTGCATTGCCCTGAGGTCCGACGTAGCGAGAAAAGTGCAACAGCGTTGAACATCACGCCCCGGAGCCCCAGATCCCATCTTTCTGCATCATTTTTCAAGAAAGATCGATCTGCAAGGGCCCCTGGGCCCGAAAGGAGGCGAAAACGGCTGGCTCGGAAAAGCTGCGACGCCAGGGTCTCAGGGTGACCCCCACCTCAAGGCTCTCGGTCTCCCCCCCCCCCTCCGGCCCGCACCGAGGCCTGTGCACGGCCGAGGACGACATACCCAGACCCCGACGTCAGGAATCTGTTCATAACGCCGACCCTCAGAGGTCTCGACCCATTTCCCTGGACCGGCTTTTCATCATGAGTCGCTTGTTGACGGTCCCGAGGGCCAGTAAGGGCCTCCAGGGGCCGCGAATGCGACAAAACCTCCCGTTGTGATCTTTTCATTGCCCCAGGGGGTCTGGGTGCAGGAGGCCCAGCAGCCCACCTCTGGCGCCGAGCTGGGACGCCAAACGGCCGCCCCGCCGCCCCGCCGCCGCACCCGATCCCAGAGGCCTCCCAGATGGGGTCCGAGCAGATGGGGTCGGAGGACCGCGCCGCATCGCCGAAGCATGACCGATGCATCGGCGATGCATCGGCGACGTCGGCGATGCGTCGGCGGCGTCGGTGTGGAGAAAAGCGGGCTCCACATCGAGCCGCATCGTCGATGCATCGGCGATGCGGAGCAATCCTCCGACCCCACCTATTCTCCGACCCCATCCCAGGAAGCCTAGACTTAGGTCGGGCTTGCCCCCCTGCAGGCCGATTGCCGACGAAAACTGAAAAAAATACACCACAAATATTCAAAAAAGAAGGCAAAACAATTACAAAAAAAAGGCCACGAGACTATTTTTTTACTGTTTTCGAGTATTCCTCCTGTAGGGGGACGGGCCCGACTCAATCCTAGGAGGCCTACACCCTGCGAAATGCTTAAGAAATCATGGGTTAAGAAATTCATAGTCTCAGAACTTGAATAAAAACCCAAAAATTCCATTCAGATCTTAGGATTTACATTGAAACGTTAAGAATAATCGAGACTCTGGCCGAAAACTTAAGTTTTCTTAAGCATCGCCTAAGGTGTATAGACACCCGCTCCGCGGGCCTCCCCGCCGGGGCCGAGGCCGCCGGGCTCTGCACACGGCCCACCCCACGGGGAGCCCCGTCGGAGAGCCCCGTCGGAGAGCCCCGGCCGGGCCCGGCCGGCTCGTACCCCCGGCGCTCCAGTGCTTGCTGTAAGTCGGGCCTGTCCCCCTACACCCTGCGAAATGCTTTAGAAATCATGGGTTAAGAAATTCGTAGTCTCAGAATTTGAATAAAAACCCAGAATGTCTATTCAAATCTTAGGATTTACATTGAAACATTAAGAATAATCGAGACTCTGGCCGAAAACTTGGGTTTTCTTAAGCATCGCCTGGAGTGTACAGGCCGATCTTGGGTGAAAAATAAGAAATAGTCCAACAAAAGCATCCTGAAATATTCAAAGATGGTCCACAAAAATCGTCCCAAGACTGTTTGTTCCTCCTGCAGAGGGACAGGCCCGACGAAATGCTTGCGCGAGGCGTGGGCCCCAGGAGGGGCGGGCGGCAATGCCCTGAGGAGATCCTGGCGCCGCACTTCTTTCGAGCCGGCCGTCTTCTCGGGGATCTTCTGACCCGGGTCAATCCAGGCCTGGGTCAGCAGGAAACCAAAAACTGCAATGCAGGAAACAAAAAACTGCAACGCAGGTCTTCGCAAACCCGGGTCAGCCAATATGCGCGGCCGCCTCACGGCCACGAGCGGCTCGCTAACCCGGGTCAGCCAGAGAGGGTCTTCGCAGGATCCTGCAGGATCCGGTGCCCTGGCTGACCCCCGTTTGCGTTGACCCCCGTCTCTCGAGCCCCGATCTTCAACCTCTTTCTCGCGCCCCGGGACCCTCGCAGGTGGATCCGGCTCGAAAAACGGCGCGGAGGGATGGGGCCTGGGGCTGCCAGGCGTTAGGTTCTACGATGTTGCCATGTCCGTCGCTCTGTCGGACTTCAGGGTGCAGGGTCGCCTCAATGGGGGGGGGCAAGGGACCCAAAGGTGCCCCTTCGGGCTCCTGTTGGGCCCCCTGCTGGCTCCAAAAGGGGGCCCCAGAGGGCCCCTGTTTGTTCCTCTCCTCGGCCCCCAGGTAGGCCACCCGCCCGAGCTCTGGACCACTTTCTGAGCGGGTGTTTCGTCCTGCGCCGTTTTTGGACGATCTCGCGGGGCCCGTTGAGGGCTCCTGGAGGCAGAAGAAAAAACAGAAACCAGCCGCTCTAATTCTTTAGACGTTGCCCCGAGGGCGATTGGGACCAGACGAGGACCCATGAGATCCCAGCGTTGCATTTTTTCACAAAGGGCGTTCTCGCTCAGTTTCGGGCCCCGGGGCCCTCACAAATCGATCCGGCTCGAGGAATGGCGCATGGCGCAGAGGGATGGGGTCCAGGGCTCCGGTCGTGATTTTTTGCCGTGCTGCATTTGCATTTGTTTTGCAACGGCGGGGATCTCAGGGAACCCTGAGTGCCCAGACCCCTCGGATTGTGAAGGAGCACGACAGGAGGTTCTTGGACGTGTTCGGCCTCCAGGGGCCCGTACTTACCAGTCCTCGGGGCCGTCAAAAAACGGCTCGGGATGAAGAGACGGTCCCGACTGGGTCGAGACCTCTAGGGGTCGACGCCATGAACAACATCATGAGGTCGGGAGTCTGAGCTAGGAGGCCCAAAACATCAGGGACGGTTTTTGTTCTGCAAATGCCCCAAACCAAACCACCCGTCCGCTTTCACCCCTCATGCCAATACGATGACCCGAGTCAGGCAACGCCTTCATTGCGTTACCAGGGGCGTAAAGGCTATTGTTTTTGACGCCTCCTTGCCCATCCCTTGGGTCAAGGTGCCCGGCCGGGCGCCTCCTCCGGAGGCGAGCAGGAAGAAGGCGACGCTGAACGGCGGCTGCTGCGCCTCAAACGCTGGCTTGCGCACCGACGCTCAAATTCAGCATGATGCGGTCCAGCGACGTGAGGCCCTCGAGGCGGGAAGAGGAGGAGGAGGAGGAGGTGGAGGAGGCGGAGGGGAAGGAGAAGAAGGAGGAGGAGGAGGGGAAGGAGAAGAAGGAGGAGGCGAAGGGGGAGAAGGAGGAGGCGGAGGGGCAGGAGAGAAGAAGGAGGAGGAGGAGGAGAGGGGAAGGAGAACAAGGAGAGGAGGAGGAAGGGGAGGAGGAGGGAGGAGGAGGAGGAGGGAGGAGAGGAGGAGAGGAGGGAGGAGGAGAGGAGGAGGAGGAGGCTGTGTTCTGGCGTGCTCCTCCGCCCCGCTTCTCCCGGCCCGGCCACGAAGGCGCACGGGGCCCCGGCGGGAGCGGGGCCCGCACCCCCGCGGCTTTCGCCCCCCGGGGAGCCGCGCCTCGAAATCAAACGGAAGCTTTTCCCGCGACGTGGCGGCGCCCCACCCCTCCTCCTCCAGCCCCTCCTCCTCCTCCTCCTCCCCTCCTCCTCCTCCTCCTCCTCCTCCTCCTCCTCCTTCCCCTCCTCCTCCTCGAGTCGCCTACGGCCCCCGGGGGAAACCGTGTTCCCTCCTCGTGATCGCCGCAGTGCCGCGCAGTACATACGGGGCAGTTGCTAATACATGGGGTATTTTGTTTTTAAAAAGACATGAGATGTTTAATACATGACTAATTTACGAACGAACTTGCGCATGAACTCATCCTTGCTTTTCATGCTAGATCCCTGCATTTTTAATACATGATCCGCACGCGGAGCATGTATCAAAAACGGCACTGTATACTCGCAATGCTCGCGCCGACACTGGCGGCTGCAAGCAGAACAATCTGACCCCGTCGGCAGCGTTCTTTCGCGCGCCGACCAGCTTCAAAAACCCTAACCCTGCGCTTTGCTTTCGAGGAGGGTTGCAGGTCCTGCGAGCGGCCCCAGGAGCCCGAAAACAGCAAGCACGCCTCTGGACCCCTGTCCCTCAGCCTATGCCGACGATGCTCCTCGCCCTCCCGCCTCCCGTCGTGCCAGGCGCGTCTCGGCGAGGCGGCTGTGGCAACTGCCTGCGCCCACGGCCTTCTCACTGGCTGGCGGCTGCTCAGAACTGCCTCAGAATCACCCACACACGCGCGATCTTCCTCCGACGCGCGGAAGACTCTAGTGGGCGGAAGAACGATGGGAGCTCGCCCTCAAGGCTGATCTGCTTCCTCGTGGAGCAGCGCATGGCTGACCTGAGGGCACTCGAAGACCGCACACGGGCGGCAGCAGGGCAGACATACGCTACAGGACCCGGCCACTTGTTTGGTTTCGCGGACGGGTGGTCCAACACAGCGAGGGCATCAGCGGGATGCGCCGAGCTGACTGCCACCGAGGGTCTGCCGACGGGATGCCAAGCGAAAAGCGGTGGACAGACGCAGAACAAAGAGAGGCCGAAGCCGGGGACCCAGACACCGAGGGTGCGTGCAGTAGGAGCTCGACCACAAGAAACCTTCCACAAGAAGCACCCAACCCTGAGACCCCAGGACGTCCATTCATTTTTGGTGTGGGTACGTCACGCCTCCCGTAGCAAGACCACCGAAACGACGGAGACCCAGGGCACCTTGGAGACAAACAGAATGTTTCTTGGCATGGGTTCCCACTGCAGGGCTCAACCACACAAACGCGCACACACAATGCCATTGCGCCCGACGGCCCCCCCCTGCGCGCGCGGGCTGAGCCCACCCACCCCGCCCTCCGTCCCCTCCCACATGGACGCTCGTGAACGAACCTCCCCCCCCCCCTGGGAGGTTGCCAGGAACGAATGGTTCCCGAAGGGCCCCGAGGCCCACAGGAGCACCCCTCCGCGAGGCCCAGAGGGTGCTCCACGGCAAGGGCTCCGGAGTGGTGGGAGGAGCCGGGGGCGACTCCGGGGCAGGAGAGAACCTCTGGCGACCCCCGAAGATCACGCCTGCTCCCCGCGCGGCTCGCCCTACCCCCTCCAAGGCTCGTGGAGCAGCTTGGGAGCACCGATCGACCAGGGCAACTATCTCCTCCTCCTCCTCCTCCTCCTCCTCCTCCCCTTCCTCCTCCTCCTCCTCCTCCTCCTCCTCCTCCTCCTCCTCCTCCTCCTCCTCTCCCCCTCCCCCTCCCCCTCCTCCTCCTCTCGCGCTTCGCGCTCCGCGGAGCGCGATCCTCTTCGCGCTTTCGCGCCGGTTGCCCCCGTCGCCCCCCGGAGCAGGACGAGGGGCCCGCGCCTCGTTCCGAGGTCGCCCCCACCGCGAAGCGCGGCGAACTTCGCGTCCTCCCTCGGAATCCGACGCGCGTTCTTCCCGCGGCGCGGCGGCGCCCCGGGGCCCCAAGATGTCCACGTTCGCACCGAAATTCGGGGGGCTGCAGACACAGCGGTCGGACCCCGAGGGCCGCGCTTCGCGCGCCGATCAGCATTGACGAGTTGCGCCTGATTTCGAGGAGGGTTGCAGGATCGAAGGTCCTCAGAACGCGTCTCAGCGCCAAGGGGCGCTAGCCCACTGAGGCCCTTCGATACGACGCAGGCGGCACAGCGAGGGCCGCCCTGTTCTGTCGCGGCCACAGCGATCGCGCGAGTCGGTCGAAGGAGCAGCGCGGCTGCTGACTCCGAATTTGGCGCACGGGAGGGCCGACACAGGCTGCGCGCTATCGGCGGCGCCACGCCCCGCCCCACGACGTCGCGAGTTGCTCACAACGTGTCCCCCCCAAAACTCTGGACCCATGCCTCGGGACCCGCCTCTAGCCCCGAGTCGTTGTGCTGACGGCCTTGGAGCCTGGCGAGGTCCCCAGGAGGCCGAACACGTTCTCAAAAACCGACCGCCCGCATCGTTCGTCACGAGGCGAGGGGGCCTGGAAATGAGGCACACATCACCAGATGCCCCTCATGATCACATGGTGGGCATAACGAAGTTCGAGGTCCCGGAGGGATAGCAAGCCTGTCCCGGCAGGCCGCAGCATTACAGTCGGCCCGTATCATAAGGGATGCGCGATAAGGATGCAAGGACCTTGGACGCCCATGTCGGAGCTTTTCGAGCGGAGCGCGGCCAAGGAAAGTGGCCACGGATGGACCGAGGAGGCAAGGATGCAAGGGTACCCTTGCGAATGCTGCCCATCCTTACTATGCGGGTTGACTGTAAAGGAGGAGGAGTGAACGGAGTTCTCCGGAGTTTCCGGATGTACGGAGTGTCGGCAAATGTTTTTCGAAGTGTAGGGACGCACAGAGGGTCGAGGCATGTCTCGGATGTTTCGGAATTTGCGGAGTGCACGAATGTACGGAGGAGTGGGGGAGGGGAGGGCAGAGGGGGGAGGGGAGGGGAGAGGGGGGAGGGGAGGGGAGGGGGGGCAGGGAAGGGAGGGAAGGGATGGGAGAGGAGTGAGGAGGGAGGAGGTAGAGGAGGGGAGGAGAAGGGAGAAGAAGAGAAGACGAAGAAGGCGGAGGGAGGAGGAGGACATGCGAACTTCCGTTTGGAAAGACATATTGCTTCGTGCTGTGTTTGTGTTGTGTCGTGTAGCGATGATCGTGGTGTAGAGCTTCCGACGTCTAAACAAACAGGGGATACAAAAAGCGTGGGTCGGGAATGCGCGGACACATGCAGGCACCGACGCTGAACCTTCTGTGGAGCTCCCTATGAGACCGCGAACCGTGTGAGGGGTGTGCCCAAATGGAGGCCTCTGAAAGATACACATGATGATGCGGATGCTGATGATTCTGAGGATAATAAAAATGCTGATGATGATGATGCTGATGATCATGCTGCTGCTGCTGCTGCTGCTGCTGCTGCTGCTGCTGCTACTGAGCTGCTGAGGAGGAGGAGGAGCAGCAGGAGGAGGATTCGACTCATGGTAAGAAGATTCCATCTACGATTGGCACTTCCCCGGGTGATGATGTGCAGTTCGGAAACGCCGCCCCACACCGCCGACCATGACTCTTGGCCGGAGAGCTCATCCTGAGGCTGGTGGGACGAAGAGGCTGCCGCATCATCGGGGGGGGCATGCGGTTACGCTCGGGCTGACGACACGTTCCGAGGCCCGGCCAGGGCACCACCTCCTGCCGCCCGTCGCCCCCCTGCCGCACGCCTCTCCCGCCTCCCCCAGCGAGCCCTCGCGCCTGCCACCTCCCGCAAGTACGCCCTCCCCGCCTCCTGGCCAGCGCCCCCCCCCCTCCGCCTCCAGAAGTCCTTGGTGAGAGCTCCAGTGCAGCAGTCTCCCTCCCCCCCTCCCTCGCCCCCCCTTCCCGAGGCACCGAAGAAGCTGCCACCCCCAAAAAAGTAACGCCAAAGAGCAGCAGGCCTCGACCACGATCCTTGAAAGAGGAGGCGGAGGAGGAGGAGGAGGAGGAGGAGAAGGAGGAGGAGAAGGAGGAGGAGGAGGAGGAGGAGGAGTAGCAGGAGGAGGAGGAGGAGGAGGAGGAGGAGGACGACGACGACGACGACGACGAGAGAGGACGAGGGCAGAGAAGGAGGGAGGCCGGAAGGACGATCCGCCACCGTGCCTCTGGGCACGGGGTGGGCGTGTCCCCAGGTCCTTTTGCCTGATCCCTCGAGCCTCAGTCCTCCATCCCGACGGGTCTGACAGCTGCCGGGGCTTCCCGCGTGCCCCCTGGGCTCTGCCAAATGGTGGCGCGTGAAGTGTCCGGGCCGAAGGGGGCCCCAGGACGGGCCAAGGGGGCCCCAAGAGGCCCCGAGGACGGCCCCAGAGGCCTTCGAGTCGCCGAAAAATCGACCCGAGACGCCCAAGATGGCCCCCAGACGGCCCAAGAGGCCTCCAAGACTCCCCAAGAAGCTTCCAAAAGGCCTCCCAAGAACCCAAGAAGAACCCAAGACGTCCAAACCAGTGAGTTCTAGTAAACTGCTCATGGTTTGTAGCCTGCTCGTCTTTTCGACTTACCGACGCTCTAAGATGGCCCAAGAGGCCTCCAAGACGCCCCAAGAAGCTTCCAAAAGGCCTCCCAAGAACCCAAAACGCCAAAATCAGTGAGTTCTAGTAAACTGCTCATGGTTTGTGGCCTGCTCGTCTTTCCGACTTACCGGCGCTC